TCTGGGGGGTTGGGGGGGGATTCTGTGGGGCAGGGGGGCTGGTGTGGGGTTGTGTGGGGCTGGGTGGGGGTCTGGTGGAGTTTCTGTGGGGCTGGGGGGGGTTCTGGGAATCTCACATGGGTTTCGGGGTGGGTTTGGGGGTGGAGAGGAAACGGAGGGGCATTGCAGCGCCGCAGCTGGGTTATAGGGCGGGACGTGGGGCTGGCAGTGGGGCTGGGCTGGCCATGGGGCTGGGCTGGCAGTGGGGCTGGGCTCGCTATGGGGCTGGGCTCGCTATGGGGCTGGGCTGGCTATGGGGCTGGGCTGGCTATGGGGCTGGGCTGGCTATGGGGCTGCCCCACACAGGTGCTGCAGAAGTCGCTGTCGGTGGTGAAGGCCCACTGGAGGGAGCACCAGGATTACGCCTTCGCCTGCGAGCAGCTCAAATCCATCCGCCAGGACCTGACGGTGAGTTGGGGGCAAAACCGGGGGGATTTGGGGCCGCGACGGGTTTGGGGGGGGGGGGGGGGGGGGCCCGCGGCTTCACCCCCCGTCTGCCCCCCAGGTGCAGGGCGTCCGCACGGAGCTGACGGTGGAGGTGTACGAGACGCACGCGCGCATCGCGCTGGAGAAGGTCAGCGCTGAGCCCCCAAAGCCCCCAAAGCCCCCCGAGGATTCCCACGTCCCACCCCCTTTGCCCCCCTTTGCCCCCCCAGGGCGACCACGAGGAGTTCAACCAGTGCCAGACGCAGCTCAAGTCCCTGTATGCCGAGAACCTGCCCGGCAACGTGGGGGAATTCACGGCCTACCGCGTGCTGTACTACATGTTCACCAGGAACTCGGGGGGTGAGTGGGGCTGGGAGCCCCCCAGATCCAGGGAGGGGTGGGGGGGCGACCCTGACCCCAACCCCGACTCCGACCCCAACCCTGACCCCAGCCCTGATCCCCTAAAGCCGGTAACCCAGCCCTGCTGTGCCCTGCGCTGGGTGATCGCCTGGAACCTGGGGGGGGTGTGAGTGGGGCTGGGGGGGGTTCCTGAGACCCCCACCCCAAATCTGGGGCCAGCAGCGTGGGTGGGGTTGGACAATAGGGGCAATAGGGACAATAGGGGCAATAGGGACAATAGGGGCGATAGGATCGGGGTTAGGGGTGGGGTTGGGGTCAGTCGTTAGGGTCAGGGTCAGGAGCAGAGGCGATCCCAGCCTCTCCCAGGCCCTAAACCCGCACCTCCCTGCCATGGGACCCCCGCCAGCCCCGCCCCCACCCCACGCGGCCCCCTTCCCCCTACCCCCCCCCCCCCCTCACAAATCCGGAGCGGCCCGAGGGCGCTAATGAGCGCTAATGAGCGCTAATGAGCGCTAATGGCCTCCGCCCGGTCCCAGACCTGACGACGGAGCTGGCCTTCCTGACCCCGGCGCTGCGGTCCGACCCGGCCGTGTCTCACGCGCTGTCGCTGCGCGCCGCCTGGGCGCTGTGCAATTATCACCGCTTCTTCCGCCTCTATCGCTCCGCCCCCCCCGTGGCCGCCCGCCTCATCGACAAATTCGCCGAGCGGGAGCGCAGGGCCGCCCTCAAAGCCATGATCAAAACGTATGTGGGGCCGCGGGGAGCCGCCCGGGCCCTCGCCCTATAGGGGACCCCGCAGTGGGGTCGGCCCGGGGGGTTTTGGGGGGGGGGGGGG